GTTTTTCCAGCTTTAGGAACCTCCACAGTTAGTTTTTCAGGTGTTTTTTCGGCTTTAGGATCCTCCACAATCAATTTCTGAGATGTTTTTCCTGCTGTATGAACATCTGACGGCTCTAAGCTGTGGAGAAAATACCAAGTACAGTCATTCATTGTGAAAAAACAAGTGACAATGCTTTTTCTAAATGCTATCATACGAACAATTTTGATTTCTTGTTTATCATCAACATTAAGTAACAATATAATACCATGAGATTTCTTTATTGGGGACGGATTATTCTAAAGTATAGGAAGCACTGAGTGCACCAAATGCTTCCTATACTTTAGAATGACAGACACCTATTATCCACCTCAAAAAGGTTTCTTAGCATTTTTTTTTTTATCTTACTCTCCTATCAACTTTAATAAAGTCTGAACAAAAGTACACCCGCACAAACCATACATCAAAACAACCATCTCCATCACATGAGGTGTGCTATTACTTTTATTGGCATTTCAAGTTACCATGGCAACACAATAAACCAAAAATGACCCTACGAGACTCAATGGAATGAATGGAGAGTGCTCAGAATCTTCCTGAATCATGACGGCCATCAAAGCAAACCTGGAAATCCCAGAAAAAACTGTAAATTAGTCATTTTTACACAAACTCAGCAGCAAATTGATGTGAAAGGAGCTAGTAAGGACCCCCTGGACAAATGATTACTGCTAAAGGAGGTCCATGTTTAGTTTTACAAAAATGGAAAATTGCTTAGTGAAATCATTCAAGAACCACGACGCTGCTTTCTGACGTAACGCGCCATTTTTAGACATTGAGCTGAAATTTGGCGTGGTTGTTGCTGAGAACTATCCTCACCACAAACTGAATCAAAATAAAAAAAAATCTAAGATGGCTTTCATAGCTTAAAGGAAAAAAACAGATTATAACTCAGCCAGTTTTTGCCATATTGAGCTGAAATTTGTTATGGTGGAAGCTGGGAGCAATCCCCAACAAACAGTGACGTCTAATCAAAAGTTTCAAACGGCCACCACTTGGCAGTCCCTGTCAAAGGTTCCTCAGAAACTTTTAGTTTGGACTGTTACCAAGCACGGTGGCGCAACTGGTAGAGCTGCTGCCTCTCAGCGAGCAGGTCCCTGGTTCAAATCCCGGTCCGGGGGCTTTCTGGGTGGAGTTTGCATGTTCTCTCCGTGCATGTGTGGGTTTTCTCCGAGTACTCCGGTTTCCTCCCACAGACCAAAAACATGCAGGTTAGAGGTCTCTCTTGTAAATGAGTCTTCGAGGCTCAATGGGATAAACCTGTTTAAATAAAGGTTGAATGAATGTTAGGCTGATTGGGAACTCTCAATTGTCTCTAGGTGTGAATGAGAGTGAATGTTTGTTTGTCTCGTTTGTCTCTATGTGTCCCTGTGATGGACTGGAGACCTGTCAAGGGTGTCTCCCCCACCTCTCACACAGTGACAGCTGGACATGGGCACCAGTGACCCCCGCCACCCAAACAAGAAGAAGCGGGTAAAAGATCATGGATGGATTGTTACCACTCTGTATGTATATTTTTAAACTAACCACAAAGCAAGTTAGAATTTCCCTGAAGAATACTAGAACCGGTGTACTTACTTACTGACTTGCTTATTTCCTCTTGGTTGATTTGAAACTTCGCAGGAATGCAGGAAGTTAATTACTAAGAAGTAGCCTATTAAATAGCACATCCCTCCTCATACCATGTGCCTGGGGGGGGGGGGTGGTTGTCACTTGAAGAGTTATACCATTCAATGAAACCGTCATCAAGAAAGTTACCACCCAGCCTCTCTTCTATCTCTGGTTTTGACCTCACACAGCTTTGACCCTATTTACATAAAATAAATGTTTGACAGAACAGAAAGCATCGTCTCTCGCTTCAAAGTCAAAGTGCTGAAAAGGATCGGCGTCAACAAAACCGTGACTTTCTATGCGACTGAATCGTTGGAAACTTTACTTTACTTTGAGCAGGCATCAGGATATGTTGGAA